TGTTTAAGGAAATGTGTATAGTTAACTAAAATTGTTATTTTGATATCAATAAAATTCAACAATCAACACTATGATTTTTTGCAATCGTTCAAAAAATCTTTTTTGTTTTCGATAAAATTGAAGATCGTTATAATAAAATTGGTTTTTTTTTGCACACTAAAATTTAAACAGATTAAGAATCACTTTTCAACTACATTTGGATCTTGTAAACAATAAGAAAAAAAATCTCAACTTAGTTCTTAATGTATTATATCATTATCAATAATGATGAGGTTGTAGATCATTGGTCTATTGAATGGATGAACAAACTTTTCCCTTGGCTAATCACACGGTGATGGAGAGCTTTGGTGTCGCGATCTTGATAATAATACATGTAAAAAAAAAAGTCCTCTTTTTAGATTTAGAAAGACCATCCGATGATTAAATTAACATATGGAGAGAGGTGAATATGACATTATCTTTCTTTTTTCTTTTTGAAAAAAGAGTCCTCATCCTTATAGATGTTGCCTTAAGAGGCTTAGTGGTGTAAATCGTGTCCGATGCCTTAGTAGGTTTGTGAAGAGTAATTTTATTTAGGAGATAGGGAAGATATACGGTGATTTACCTTTTTTACGGTTTCTTAACTTAGCTATGTAGTAGATATTGTTCTCTTTGCCTTCTAAATGTTGTTTGGTTTATTTTGCCTAAGTTTCAACCTTCTCATTTATTGTGTTTCGAGGTTTTTTCTTTTATAATGATTGTATGATCTAACTTTGATAGAGATGAATGACATATATTTTTTTTTATGATAAAGAATAGTTTGATATTATTCTTATTGTACAATAGCTACTAGCATATATGTTGATCTTTTTTGGGAAATATTCTCTCTTAGTGGAAGGCATGTTCTTAGCATGTGGATTGTTGTCTTTTATTTAATGCTTATCTCATAAGTATTTTTACATGGCATTCAAGACCCGGAGACATGTAGAGGTAACGGGATGTTTAAATCCCATTTGTGGGAGCCTTTTCTCATTCGGAATCCCCGAGTGGTTATTCTCATGTTAATGGCAAAGCCTTATTACTTTGTACGAAAATATGTCAAAACCTAAAATTTGGGTTATATTTGTTTTTAGTATTTTTTTTCCTGCTATTTTCATATTCTATGTTAGTTTATAAGCTTAATTTTAGAACCTTACATGCTTATTTTTGAAAAAAAAAATAGAGAGAGCAAGAGAAAAAAATTAATTTTATCAGTTTAATCTATCTTATCTTATCTTTTTTATTTATTCCATTTCATTTTACTTCTTATTTGTTTATTTATTTTATCCTTTTATTTAGGTGTATTTTTTATTTTTAGTCCAAGGGTGAATTGAATGAAAATTAAATGCAATTGGAAGCAATTAAAGGATATAATTGAAACAATTTAAAATAATGAAATTAAAATTCAAAGATACAGAGGCCCAATTAAAAAAAAATTAAAAGCATAGTGACTACAATGACATGCCCAAATAGTACAACCGAAAAACAATTAAACCTACATGGATCTAAATTGACCTAGGGCACTAACGACGGGATCAATGCAAGATCACCCGATTGACTCGTTGTTCGAGTCCTACCAACCTTTTTATGGCACGTCTACCCTATAATATACCATTTTTTGGCACTCGTTCATTTTCATCAATGAAGACAACAAGTCAAAAGGACACAATCGGCTAAGCTCGCAACTCCTATACACACAAAATGCATACACGTAAAGCACAAGTTTTGGCTCAATTCATACATAGCTAAAACTAGAAAAAACCTAAGAGGATTGTCTTTTGTGACGAGTTTGGATTTAAACCGAGTCGAGGAGAGTAAGCTTTGGGTATAAATAGGGGCTTGAATAAATGTTTTTGAGAAGAGGCAAAAAGGCAAAAGGACTATTATGGGAAATTTCGGAGAGCAATTGAGGACAAGAAAGAGAAATTGTATGAAATTTCCAAAAAAAAAAAAAAGGCAATTGTGAAATTTGAGAGAATTTAGAAGTAATAGGGTAAAGAGCAGATTTATTGGAAATTTCAAAAAGAAGGCTTAACGTTCTTATTGGTCTTTTGAAAAAAGGAAATTTTGGAGTTTCTATAGGGCAAACGAGCTCCTATTTGTTTCGGGCTTTAGCTAGAACACACTATCACCTATCGAAGTAGGAATCATCCACAACCAATCGTTCCCCTCAAGCCAGGCTCCATCAATCGACCACCCAAGTAAGAATTTGTTGTTTCCTCCATTGATTTGCAACTTTAATTAGTACCAATTAAAAAAAAATGAGTGATGATAGTGATTCCATCATTGTCATCACGCAAACTTTCCACTATCGCTATTTTTCCTCTAATCAATCACATTTTAATAATTAGGTTATTCTTTGATATATCGATTATGTTGAGACTTAAACTAGATTTGATGTTGAATTGACAAGACTTCTAGTGATGGGGTTCGACGATCAATTCAATATGATACCGAAATAAAAATAATTTAAACCGGATATGATACTTTTTTCGAAAAGAGTGTATTTGGATGATTGATATCTTTTCAAAGGCATAAACAACTCTTTATTTTAGAATAACGTCGGTTTTAAGTTTTTTAGTTTTTTTTTAATGCTAGATGAAGATCCCAAAATGTGGTTTAACTCACATTTTTAGTAAATAATCATAAAAATCAAACCAACAAATTTTTAGTTAGAATAATTTTTGAATGTTGCTTAAACGTAGAGTATCGACAACATGCGTCAAAAGTATTTTTCTGAGTATACAAAATTGGGTCTTAAATTTTTTGACTTTATCAATTTCAACTTAAAAATAATTAATATTAGACAATATTGATTCTTCTATCAATCTCCTGTGAGCGACTGTCAAAATATTTTACTATCTAATTTATATATATTCATTAAATATTTCCGTTCATGATGTAAAACTAAATTCAAATCTGTTTTCGATGATATTTTTAGTTTGAATTATAGTAAATCAAAATGTGTAAAACTTAATTGATAAAGAGATAATCGATTAAAAATGTCTATTTAATACTCTGTAGCTAGCGTCGTGAGCATCCATTAGTTCTACAAAAAGAACAACACATACGATATCGTCACAGATTTTTCTTCTATTCGTGACTACTCAACTGGATTTCCGGAATCTAATTAACCTCCCCTAATGACTCTTAGTTAAAAAGAACCATTTTTGCACATTTACTCTGAACAGTACATTTGTCCCAAAAAGCAAAACAAAAGCTAAAGCTCAGAACTGTACAGCACTTCCATTAATGTCTTTTGATAACATATGCTGCCTGATATTTTTGACTATTGAGACAAAAGACACTGAGGAATAATCATAAAGCCAATATGGTATATACATATTCCAGTTGTACGTGACAGCACTATTGGCTCTGGAACCCTATATTTGTCAAGGATAGGGCATCAATTAATGGATTAAGTGTGTTTGATAATGCAATGATATTATTAATTGATTTTTTTCCTTAAAAAGTTAGATGTAATATTTAAATTTTAATCTATAACGAGACAGTATGAATGGCGTATGGTTAAAGTAAAAATCAAATAAGATATTATAGTTTTAAAAAAAATTATAAAAAAGCAAGAGGTTAAACTTAGTAAATTGGTTGAGGTTTTAGAATGAAAAGCCTAATTAAAAAAAAAAAAAACAAGAAGGTTTTATGACAGAAAAAAAATAAAATAAAACTAGTAGCTAAAGCGGTAAAAAAAAAAAAAAAACTGTAACTAAAAATAATTAAATAAATTGCAAAAAACTAGAGTATTAATTTATAAAGCAATAAAAAAAAATTGACAAGAAAACATAAGTATATTGATGGAGCTGACCAAAAAAATTACAAAAAGAATAATTCTCTATTTATAAGAAATATGGAACTTAATGATCAACTTCAAAACTAAACTAAACTAATTAGAAATAATTTTTTTCCTAAACAATTGATTATTTCATTAAAATACAATTCAGGAAATTAAATTGTCCACGCTGTTGCCGGATTTCTCCCTGAAGAATATAGCATCAAACAAATCCGGTCCCACACCTGCCCCAAAGTGTAGACAGCTTCAACAATTCGAATAAAGTTGCATTGTTCTTTTCTCATTAATGTCAAAAACGTAAACCTTGAAACAATTAATATGTCATTTGGTCCAATTGTCAAAGGCTAATTGGAAAATATTTATTGTTTGGATTGAAAAAATATATTAAAATTAATGATTTTTGGTGCTTCTTGATATTTCTTTCGTCACCTTATTAAATTTTATGTGTCATTTTATTCAATTTCACTATATTTTGTATTATTGTTTCTTTAAAAAATTATCTTATTGTATATACGGAAAATCACATAAATATATTGATAGGAAACACAAAATTTATGGTGCATTTTTATCATATGTTAATAAAATAAAAAAAGGTAAATTCAAAAGATATATATATAAGATTGACAAAGATAGGACCAGACATGCAATTTTGAAAAGTTTATAAGAAGAAATTTGAGATCAAATTTGATATTTTTTGCATCTTCGTCTCAGCTTCGCATGTCTCCGAGAAAAGAAGGTATAAAAATTTCACTCATTTTTGTTTTCAAAATAGAAATAATTTTGAATTTTGTCGTTATCTCGACTAACCAAACTTGTACCTATAACTTTTGTCGTGTACTCGAAATCAAACGTGGTATGTTTGTCCCCCGGTAAGCAATATGATCTCTTGCAAGGAATAAACCACTTAAAGCATTTTTTTATTCTTGAGGACGTCGTTTCCTGGCAGCATCGGGATTGGCGTAGCGGTATTTTTTAGGGATACATGTGATGACGCGAAAATTGCAACTTCGCAATAACTGGAGATGACACGACGAAAAGTTTAGGTGAAATTGGAAACTGGCAGCTGATGGAGGATCATATATATATATATATATATATACTACTATTAATATAAGTATATTAAATTACTAGAACTCTTAACAATTACATTAAAATGTTATCAAATCTGACATTTTTAAGCACCCTCTATGATTCTCTGTTGAATTTTTCTGAGACTAGAAGTGATTGTGGCAAAGGTTGGTCTAACAGAACTATCTTGATCCCATGATTGAGAAATGAGATTGATGAGCTCGCCAAGTTCACCATCGTCCTCGTCAGGAAGCATAGGCCTCAGGTTTCCTTCTGCAACTCCCATTGCAATCTAATTTCACAAGAAAATGCAAATATATACATATACCAGACCAGCAAAGCATCAATATTTAAGGTAGAATACCTTGGCGATTATGATTACATACCTTGCTGGGACCGAAATCTGTTTCAATGTATGGATAATTCCCTGTTATAAGCTCATTAAGTATAACAGCAAAACTATATACGTCGCACTTTTCGTTATAAGGTTCGCAGCGAATCACCTCTGGCGCCATATAAACATATGTTCCTGAAAATTTAGCAGGAAAGGCAATCAATATGCGATCTCCCAAAGAATTAGAAACAAAAAAATTGCACATGCGTGCATTGTGAATTTATGCAATATAATCAGACATTGCATACTTGAAAAATAGCATGTTGTTCATAGTTCTTGCCTGTTTCTCCGCTGAGTGCCATTTCTGCGTCATCCAAGAACCTAGCATGACCAAAATCTGCCACCCTGACGTGATTGGAGTCGTCTAAAAATATGTTGCTAGGCTTTAGGTCACGATGAATGACCTTTGGCTTCTGTTCATGGAGATATTGCATCGCTTGAGCAATCTCCAATGCCATAGCAACCCTGCTTTCAAATGGAGGAAATGGAACGGATCGCCCTTTTCGCCTACTGCCTGGTCCATGAAGCCAATCCTTCAGTGTCATGCTCAATATTTCTGTCACTACCCACGCATGATTAGGGGGTCAATGCATGCCCCCAGTAGTTGCAGCACATAACGATGGCGCTGCCTAGATAAAGTGTCAAGTTCTTGAGCAAAAAAGTTGACACCGTTTTCATTTGAACGGAAAAAATCAGGATATATGCACTTCACTGCAACATCAAATCCTCGCCAAATTGCTCTATAAATATCTGCTGTACTTCCTTGGCCAATTTTCTCTTGAAATTGGATCTGTTGCATTACGTTAATGTAATTTACATGCAGATATGTATGGGGGAAAGAAGAAAACAAAGAAAGTATAGAATAGAAGCTTGGGACTTGGGAGGCCTTACCTCGTGAGATTCAATGTACCATCCATTCATCTTGGCTTGATCGATTGTGAAAGCAAGACTTGGAAGTTGGGCCACTTGATGAGTAGGCGATTGATGAAGATTGGTAAGATTGGTGCTGACAGTAGAGGAGGAAAGAGGATCTTCTGGCCCTTGTTGATCATCTTTGTTTTTAATTATGAGGTCCAAGATGCCGTTCTGTTGTGCTATTTGAAGACAATATTTTAGATAATCCTGCGTTCTTTCCATCCTCTTCCTGTACATGATACGGAGCTCCTTTTGCTTAAGGACTTCCCTTTCAAGGTCTGCCACCTTCAAAATCGAAAGAATCCTCATGGCCAGATAAAAGAAATTAGGCCTTGTGGGCCGGGGACAGAACTATAGCTAGGCTAAACAGCTTGGTCCAATAAAAAAACTGACTTCGTTTAAAACCCTACAGGTCTGGACTCTGGAGGGATAAAATCTGATTGGGCTTTGGCCTAAAAGCAAATTGATGACGCGTGAATATTATAATTTTTTTTAAAAAAAAAATTGATTCTTGCCCTTTCCAATACTTGTTAAGGCAAAACTAACGAGTGCCCAGCAAGGTATGCAATCAAATTTGTAAACTAATTAAAAAAACCATACTCTAATGTGAATTTAGTGTAAAAAATTTATAGAGAGATATTGTTAAAAACTTCTTTCCATTATATTGAATCTAGTTGTTTTTTTTTTCACTATATAGTTAATTTGTACATATTTTTTTGAACGAAGTTAATTTATACAATGCATGCGTTCCTACAACAACTACAATCTAGTAATTGATAGTAAAATCATGATTTAATTTCAAGTTTTCAACTATATATATATATATATACACACACACGCTCATGGGTAAAGATGACAATTTGTCTTGTCTCGACGAAACCTCGCCCCTCCCATACCGTTTAACACGAGAATTCCCCGATTTGACTGGGAACAGGGTTGGTGTCTTCGGTCATCGGCCCATGGGCAAGGCTCAAATCTTCATAGATCGGCTAGTTGGGCCAGCTATAAATTAGACAAGCTTTACCAATTGGTGATATATAATTAGGAGTTGGGGCTAATAGACATTGACCATATACCATGCACCTAACAATAGCTGTGGTCCAAATACCTGCTGCCCCAGTTTGGATCTGGACTGTTGCTGCTGCTGCTGCTGGGTCTCCTTCGTTGAGACAATATATCCCTTACTCATGCAGTCGTTGACCCTTCGACAACATCCCCCTGAATGAGTGGCGGTTTTGATGGTGAGTATGGGATTTTCGACCGGAGATTGCCTAGGACTAAATAGAGTACTGGCCTTCTTCTTCTGACAACTGCCTGAAACAATCATGGCGTGTGTTCTATTGCCCTAATTAGTTAGCCTAGGAAGGATGGGGTCGATTAACTGAGCTAGCAACATTAATGTTGCTTATATTTTGTTGGGCTCTTGTTCTCTAGCGCTTACAAGCGACATTTTTTCTGACGGATTTTCTTATGGAAGTGTGAAAATCACCAGCCAATGGACGTTTATTAGTTTCACTAATTTGGTGCTTTGGTTGCCGTATGTGAGTTTTTAGGAAGGGTACGAAATGCGATGTTCTCTATGCTTATTTTAGACGTTTGTACAACAGAAGATTAAACGGTGACTTTGACAATTGGGAGAGGTCCCCTAAAATCCACGGCAAGTCGGTACAAATTTTGGACCAGATCAATGTAGTCGTGGTCCTCTGTTTTTTGAAGCATGTTTTTGGATCTTCCAATATTTTTGGATATACCTATAGTGTAGAGTCGGCCTTCTGAGTTCTAACTATTAGGAATCACTTCTGATTCAGAAGTATTTGTTGACAAAGAGGTTTTAGAGCATCAAGAATGAGGAATTACTTTTAACTTGGATATCTATCGGTTCCTCTTTACTTCAATGAAAAATTCTTCTGATAATAGAATTCTGTATGCCTCAGCCCAAGTCGCAGGCGGCCGGACCTGAGCAATTGTCAAAAACAAATGATAGAACTGTCGAGAGATCCTTGGTAAGATCAAATGCATAACGCACGTAACGTGTACTAATAATAATGGTGGTAATAATTAGGAGGAAGTGCTTGACATTATTGTCCGTCAGAAGTCAGAAATTAAATTGAAAGGACTCTGTCATGCTGAACTGATAGATAGAAATTCAACACAAGTAGGTGAAACAGTACTTGGTTAATGGCAGAGATGTGGATGGCATTGACAGCGTTAAATTCATAATATCTGTACTTATGATCATCTACTTCTGACATTTTGATAATCGGAATTAAGCATGGCCAAGCTAAGTTGCTTGTTTATGATTGCTTGAAGACAGTGGCAATTCCACCTAATTGCTAATCATTTTAAATTAGATTTTTCATGAGAACTCCGTAGTACATGTTTTTTTTTTCCCTTCATTATGGTAATTTTTCTTGTTGAAATAGTACTCAATTATTTCTAACTGTCACAATTGTGGTGTGATTGGTTAAATTGCAAAATAATAAGATAATTTTTGACAATGTAATAGGAAAAGATACACAATAACATAGGCACGAATTGACCTAATACCTACAATTATATAATAATTTCCAAGTGCAGAATATTTTTTCTTCTTCTTCTTTTTAAGATAAATTATATTGTTACTGTAATTATATTACACCATTCACAAATAAATAATTAATTTTCGATGATTAAGAAAATGTGTTTCGTTTCTTGATTTTTTAAGTTCAAATTTTCTGATTAGCATTCGAAAAAAAATTATTCTGCTAAATACACTAGATGCGTTATTAAAATGATTTAAACTGAAAATTTAATCTTAATTAATATAAAAATACGTATTGTTGTCGAAAAAATCACAAATAATATGGTCACGTAATAATTAATTAGGCTAGATGCTAAGAAAATAAACTTATATGGCATATTAATTAATAATTCCCGTAATATAAATGCATTGTAATTACAATACATGCTTTCAAATAATTACAGAAAGTGGCCATGAAATGCTTGAGACTGGAAGCGTTTGTTGGAAAGAATGTACGTAGTGGAATGTTTGCTTTCTTGGAATATTTTCTTTTCTTTCCTATCCTTGTCTTTCTTTTTGCTGAGATTCTTGCTGATCAAAAACTACTAGTGTTCCATTCCTCATTTTGAACTTTGTAGTGGAAAAGAAAAGCTGCTAACAATCTCATGGGAACTCTCCTCGGGATCGGAAATTACAAGACATTTGTCTTCTACCTGCAAAGCAAAAGTGCTAACTAGTGGACCATCTATCTTACCCTATGTTAGGGACTGAGGAGAGAAGTGTGAGAGTGACCCTCTCCCTCATTCTTTCTCTTAATCTGCTAACTTTTACGTGGCCTGCTTAAAATTGAAAGGCCAAATGAAAAGATAGAAGCCATTTCTACATTTTCTTTGGTGCAAGGTCTAAGTTACTGTCGTTTTCTAGCATGGAAGTTGGAGCCTTTTGTTTGTTTCTCTTTTCGCATTGCTCTCTTCTTCGTATGTATTAATTTGAAGGAATATGTTCTAGCTAGCTTGCAAAGGTAGAGGTCCTGTAATTATACTTGTTAGACTGAGACAAACCACTTCCTTAATTAATCATTTCATTTCCGAGAAGGTGAATTAAGAAAATTATATATTACGTAAACACCGACACTGGAATCTTATAGATGCTCTAACCGCTGGTGGTCAAGCAGCAGCTTCATCATCACATAATAACAAGTCAAAGAATGCTTTAAGAACCCCAGAAATTAGCCAAAATGACAGCATTTGTGTTCAATAAATAGATACTAATAGCATCTCTAATGGTGCTCTTTACTTTTAGCTAATATTTTTAATGTAAATAGAGAGTATCATTAATTATATAGATAAAAGATCAATATCCTCTCTAATGCTACTCTCTATTTAACTCTTTATTTTGATAAAATCTATAAAACCCATAGAGACTATTGGTGAAGAGGTTGAGTGGCATTGGAAATAGTAATTTTCATTAATAAAATATAAGATAAAGAGTCATTTGGACTCTCTAGTATTGAAGAGCTAAAGACACTTTTTATACTAATTTTAAAGATAAAGATTGTGATAAAGAGAGCATTGGAGATGAAATTTGGATCAAGCCTCTTTATTATAAAGAAAAATCTTAATATAAAGAGAGCATTGGAGATGCTCTAAGTAGTAATAAAAACTCGGTTTGGTTTCTAAGGAATACCCGACAATTAATTAAAACAAAGATTCATTGAACCTCCTATTAAAATAATATATAATTACTTTGTAACCTTGCAAGCTTTGGAGTAAATTATAAATTAGTTTTTTTAGTTTTGATAAACGAATTAATTAGTTTTTTTTTTCAAAAACCAATTATTTAGTTATTTTTGTCTACTTTATTTTATTTTTTTATTTTTACTTTTAAAAATAAAAAATAAATAGATATTATGAAAATATTGATGAAAAAAGAAAATATTTCTAAAAATAAAATAATATTAAATTAAATATGATCATTATTGATATAAAACTAAATAAATAATTTTTAAAATAAAAAATAATTAATTCGTTTATGAAAACTATAAAGACTGATTTATAATTCACTTGCAAGTTTTATAAGGGTTGGTTGAAGTGCAAAGCTCATTCATTAAGATTCCATTTAATGTATTGGATAGTAATTAATACACTATCAGTACAGTTAAAGTTAAATAGTATTGTTAACACATTACTATTTGAAGTTTCAAGATTTTAGAAGCATTTAATGCAATTTCTAATTTATTTAATTTGAAAATCTCGAATTTTCAAAACTCAATACCTTAAATGGGCCGGTAACCATTTCATTTTACATGGATCAAGATGTGATGTCAGTAATGAATTAGTAGTGTTCAAAAGACACAAATATCAACGTTCTAAAGTTGAAAAATTTGGCTTGCTCTGTATATATGTGACAGAATATACTAAAGAACGCATTGTGATTGATGATGGCACACAAGATGAGACTAAAAGCTCCATAACTCAATTTCTGATCAGCAACAAAGACAGGGTTTTTGTTTTATCATAAGATATCTTGTGCATGGTAATAATTAAAAACAAAAAAACAGTAATTAAGCTTGTCTAATCCTACCAGAAATTTGGAAATAACAAGATTAAAGTGATTGGACTAAGGTTTGAAAGAAATGAATAATGATGAAGTAAGAACAGAGGGGAATATGTTGATTTTGATCGAGGGGCTTGTTATATAGAAATTGAGTCATGCCTAGGAGGGAAGCAATTAAGAGTCAACTCCTAGCTAGGCAGGCAGTTTAGGTTTGTCTTTTTAAAGAAAACTCACTTCACGCCCACGAACCTTATTCTTCCCATCATTGCTCCCAACTCCACCTCACCTACTGTACGGAATCTCTAACTTAGGATAATTAAGGAAGATTAGTGGAATGATCCTCACAAAAATAATACTTTAGCATAACCCAATCTGCTTAATCCTGTTAAATTAATTTATATACAACACAAAAACTTTATTATTAACTATAAAAAGTAGTTGATCACAAATATAAAAAATAAGTTATTATTCCACCACCGTCGATAGTAAACAAATATATATATATAGTTTGTTTAATTAAGTTTCTAATCATACGATCGTGTCAAATTTTGACTAAGTGCGATTATTATACTACTTTGAACTATCCCATTTCACATTATAAATTACAAACTAATCTCTGCATGCTTCTATCACGTATTAATCACATATAGCTAGCTAGGTTATTATTAATTAGGTCTACTAACAATGAACCCGGCCTAGCTACCGTCTTCCAAATATTTTATTTTGCTTAGAACTGTTGATGCTAGCTAGCTAGCTTGAGAAGTGTGTGGTTGAATTTTAAGTTAATTAGAACTGAGTATATATATATATAGATAGCTAGTTCTGCCCACTACTTAATAATCATTGCTTCTAATATTCTCAATGTTTTTAATTAATTTCTACTTTTCGGTGTAGGAGGGAATGAGGGAAGGAATTGGACAGTCCTTGTCACACGTTTGTTTATTTTGAATTACGTTCACGATGTCTTGATCTTGTTTTGTGGAGTAATATTGAGATTCCACATGGCAATGTCAATGGAGATATATTCTATATATATATATATATATATATATATAGCAGCAGCATAATGGGATATTGCCATGGATCGTATTTGATAAATATATACTTTGTAGTACAAGCAATTGGCATGTTATTCAGCAATTGGGCAGTCATTAATTGTCTCAACTTTTGATTTAAAATTGGCATGAACATCCCTCGTCATGGTTTAAAAATATAGAAAAACCAAAACAAGTGAAATGTACTATGATTTTGCAAATCCATATCATGGATTATATATGCCTGATACATGCATGTAACATACCTTAACCTTTGTAATACATGTCTTCAAATTAAATAGACAAGGATTTGCTACCAATCAAATCAAATAATAATTTGGTTGCTGGTGGGAATTAAATCACCACATTCATTTTTTTTTTTTTTTTTTGCGCTTTCTTCTTTTGGGGGTGGCGTGGGGGTAGTATTTAGGACGGTGGTGAACAAAAACCAGCACTTGATCATTTCAAATGTACTAAATACAATAATAATAATAATAGCACAAGTTTGGGTTTCTTTGGTTATATAGGATGGTCCAACGGGAAACCACCACCCTACTGTAATAATTAACAGCTTTATAGCCCTCATCCATTCATTGTTGGATTGCTCACTCCCATAGCTAGGACCAAGTTTTCAAGTACGAACTACAAACATAGAAATTGATAGATCGGCAGTTCAGCAGAACTAAGCAATCGTCCTTGAGGGCAAAAATCCATTTGATATTTACAGTTATTTTATTGATACAGCTATCCTATATTAATTTCGAGGACCACCAGCTTCTGTTACCCTGCCTTGCACCATACTGCTTCTTTATTGTTGCCTCCAATTTTGAACAATTTTCTTACCCGCCTTTATGAGATACGCAATGCATTAATTCCTTTCTTTCAACTTTTTTTTTTTTTTTTTTAAATGAAGGTGTATAATGGGTTTTAGACTAGTTTTCTGTCAATCCCCAAATTCCATCTTTACCTCTTTCACAAAGTTTTTCTAATGAAAATTAGTCTTAATCGTTGAATCATTTTTTTTTTCACACACTAATAATGTAACATAATCCTTCCATGGTATGCCAATAGCTCAAATGATATATATATATATATATATACACGCTACATTTTAGTTGGCTATGGCCTACAGAAAATTATTCGTGGGTTGTGTACCAAACATTTGTTTAAGATGGATAATTTAGATTGATTAAGAAGGATTACTTGTGAACGAGGGATAAGAACTTTTTTAGGTTTTCAATGTTGCTGGGCTGGAAATGGTGGTGATGCTAACGCAATGTTCAAGTAATGGATTGGGGGGGGGGGGGGGGGGTGGGGCGGCCTATGTACAAAAATACAAAATCCTATTACAGAGAGAAAGAAAGAAAGACAGAGGAGAAAGCAAAAGCTCTTACTTTCTCTATTCCCATGGGCGAAGATCTGCCTTTGCCTTTACCATCACACCCTCTCATTTTGCTTGTGATTACGATCTCGAATCTTTCATGTTTTTTTTTCTTCCTTCATTTCTTTCTTTATTTCTCTTTCTTTCCTTTCCTTTCCTTTTCTTTCCTTCTTTTCCTCAGTTCTATCAAAACCTGTACTGTCAGTCTCTCTCTCAGTTTAGATCACCATCAAAGAGTTAATACATCCCCACTTCTTTCTTTTCAGTAAAATCATATTCTCTCTTCACTTTCTTCTTTATTTCATTTTTGAAACTGAATCATTCACATTACAAACACCAATGTACGTATTTTATACCATGCTATTTTTCTGGAGGTATATACCAAATAGTACTAGTGTGCTCAGTGTTCAGGACTGAAATTTGACCAACTTCCTCTATAATTTTATCATCATATGTCCCATGAAATTGATAGCACTAAAAAACTTAAATGTACACCACTCAGCATTTAGCCAAATGGTGGGAGGGTACCCTTTGCTAAAATTGGAAGGGCATTGCATGTATCAATTAAATATGAAAAAAAACCACAAAAAACAAAATTCATGTAGCAAGGAACAGAAGGATGGTTCTAATTGGAGCCACTAAAATTTGCCATTAGGGATGGCATTAAGCATTAAGAAATTAACTATATTTTCATATACCGTCACCACCTTTCACCATTCCTATGATTCCCAATGATCTCAAAAATGGATCTTCACATTGATCCACTGTGAACAAAAAAAAAAAAAAAAAAACTAACAAAAAGAAAAGAAAAAGAAATTTACATACAATAGTAATTAGAAACTACACTCTCAAGCCACTAGCAATGGCACGATTAGTATCAAGATGAGTAGTTTCATACACAGGAAGTTCTTCACAATACCTACGATCATTTCCAATTACTGCAAGATGATCAAGCTCGAATAAATCCGAACTCGAATAACTTGCAGCATCATCATCCTCATCCTCATCTTCATCCTCATAACGATCGTTATATTTGCCGCGAACGTCAATCATAACAACATCATTTTTCTTCTGATTTTGATGATAATCTTTCAAGAATTCTCTAGCCACTTCCTCAACTCTCCTACTCTTCTCCATTACTTGATACTTAAGCTCATCATCAATTTTTCTTGATGGTGATTTCCCAATTTTCCATGCTGTTGGCAGAGAAACAGACATGAGACTTGAATCTTCCTCTTCATGTAATGATTTGTGTCCGACTGGCCTGCAGTCTTCGTCAACGATTACACTCACAGGGTAAAATCTAACACTCCTTTTAACCCCATTGCGTAATTTTTCCCTTGTGGATGGCGAATGCTTGCTCAAGCATGATCTTGAAAATGATGAAGCAGAAGAGCAAGTTGATGCTTGCTCTGATTTAAGTTTCCTTTCTTCATCAAAGTTTCCAATGGAAGATGAATTCTTCGATTTCTTTGTGTTCCCTGTAGTGAAGAGGGAATTAAGGAAATTCGCGAGCTTGCCACCCGGTGAAATTGGCTGTTTCACCTTCTTTAGATTGCTGTAAATCTTTAAGGCTCTTGATTTGGACTTGATTATGCTCTCTTCAAGCCTTGGTGTCTGTTCTGAAGCAGAACTTTGGTGATAATCATCAAACATATGCACTTCCCTCCGTTCATAAAGCAGAGTCTTCTCTGTTTTCTCTGTTTTTCCTGACCGAGCCGACACGCTTGTTCTGACTGGCTTAGGCCTTGGTGGATTGAAAGAAGAGGCCCTTGATCTTGCACCATACATAGATTCTGTATCAGAAGATGAGAAACCACCAGAGCTAGAATCTGAAGAGGTTGAAGTGGAGCTAAAAAACAGGACATCTTGGTCATGATCATGATCAAGCTGTGGTTTTCTTTCAAATTCTGTTAAGTTTTGCCGCCTTTGTTGAGCGATGACCTTTTGGCTTACCTTCTGCTCCATCCACTTTTCAATCAAACAAGCACGTTGAAGAGCTGACTTCCCCTCGTCTCCTCCAATGTTCCTGCCAATTTTGTTTTGTTTCTTTGGCATTGTTTCTCTGTAGAATTTCAACTCTTCCCGTTTTGGTTCACCATCATCAATAGAACGGTAGATTTCATCAAGAAGAGATGAAGAGAAAGATGGGTTCTTGATATCATGCTTGTATCTTTCTGCTCTCAGTGTTTTCTCCCACCTATCCATATTTTTCTATGTTGAAAATGAGTATATCAATGAGAGACAACGTTCGGCGAAAATGTTTCACTTTTGTTTTGGTATTGACAGAGAGTCAAAAGCTGCAATACCGACAGAAAATAGAAGTGAATAGTCATAGAAGAGGAAAAAAACTACTAGTATATCAAAAAGAAATTAGCATTATTGGAACAAAAGCAAGTGTTTTTTCTCTCTAAAAACTTCTGGGTTTTGGAAACAAGGAGGAGTGTAAGAATTGATGCTGTTTCTGGAGAGAGAAAGAAGGATGGTAATGAGTAATGAGCACAAAATGTCACGCTTGACTGAGAGAGGAAAAAAATGGGAAAGCAAGGAAGGAAATTTGCACGCCTTGAAGATGAAGTGAATGGGAACAGAAGCAAGGGACTTTATAAAGGGCCGCTTCCATGCGCGTGCATGCTCATGTCCGTCCTAATTGGAGCCAATGCCAGCTTGGATTTTGCTTACTTGGCACTAATTTTTAGACCAATTTATCCCCAAACTACCCCTACTTTAATGTTGCATACATTGAATGATCAGTATCCAAATTTGAATTTCAAGCCGTTGATCTTGTTGAAGTAAAGATGCGATCGTAGTTTGCAGTGATATAAAGAGATAAAAAAAAAAAAATGTTTTATAACAGTGGGTCCTTGTGTTGGTGTAGTATAGAATATATATATATATATATTTTTTTTGATATACAGATGGTAAACGGGGATTGTAGACATTGGATTATTACTAATTTAACAAATAGATGTAGTAGTCGCATTATTTTGGAAATAAAAACGGGGAAGAAGTATTTTTTTGGATGTGAACAGACGAACTGAATTTTGGTGAATTATTGCTTTTAAATGTTTGGTGAACTGGAAATCAGTTTTTTACCAAATTAGAATATTTTTAAATCTTTATTCTTTAAATAGGTAGTTTTAAACTTAATTCTTAAATTAGATCATTTTTTACCGTATAAGATATTTTCATCCACGTTACCTTTCCTTACCGCAATTAATTTCGCTTCTTCTTGGATGTTAAACATGATTTGTAGCTTTTTGGCTCTATAACCAACTGCAACCAAGTTTAATGCTCTCTATAAAAGATCAAACATCTTAATACTACAACTCGTTTTCTTCAATTCTACCAAGTATGTCTCATCATTCAATGGCTTTGCATCTATGAGAATATATGATTTTTACTCTTTTGCTTTCTCACTTTGCTCTATTGCCTCCTTATCTTCTTCAATCACATTATTATACCTTTTTTCCATTATCCATGCATAATAAACTATAAACAATAAAAACCTCAAAATTTCTCGAGCTGAAAACCAATGTTCCCATAGTACTCATAATTGAAAGAGTAAAAGCAAAAATCACTACTTTTCCTCAACAAAGTGTGAAAGAGAGTCTTGCCCTAATTCATTTGTTTCTTTCACTTTCATAGTACTAATTACTAATTAGAAGATGAAATGATAATTATATCCTAAATCATATATCCATTTAACCAAAATATAAAGCAAACCAAATCTCAATAATAATGATACATAATTTTAATTTGTCAACCATTTTTAATCTTTAGTAGTGTTTCTTCTTTAACATTACTTGAATTTCTAACTCACCACGTACGGTAATCTTCATCATCTTTTCAAACTAAAGGTGAAAAAAGAAAGTGAAAATGAAAAAAGATATTTTAATATCGTTATCACCGATAGCCTTCTCCTTGGTAAGGGCAACATCGATGAAAGCAACGGGAGCAACACCTTTGCCACCAATTCTCACACCAACAACTTTACCTAAAAAGCTTGAAGCGAGATGTGAAGAAACGAGTCATACCATTTGATGACATCTATATCTACGTGTCAATAAATACCTATCACAAAAAACTACCAATTAGCGATGGATAATTCTGTTGTTAATTGTCGTAAATCCATTGTTATAGCACATTAGCAACGAATTTGCTATGAAAAAAATTTCGTAGCCAAAACAAGTGTCGTTAACCCTTGCGATGGATTTAATAGTGTCCATCGCTAAAAAATATTACCCGTCACTAAATGACAACAAGAGAACCTTAAGAAGAATTGCTAATCGGTCACCAAATCATGGATCTCCTCTCATCTTGCTAGGGCTCGGTGTAAAGGACGATTTAATCTTGAAACTCGCTAGGAGGGAACATGTCATCCCGAGGCTTGGTAGGAGGGACGATGGTGCCCGAGGGCTCGTTGGAAAGGAGTGTGTCATCGTCATCGGTGGAGGGGTTAGTAGGTAAAGGAGTTGGCTACACCATTCTCTCTAACGTTAATGAAATCGGATCCATTTTAGCCTTCATCCATTGGATCTTCATCTACTGCTCGCTTGATGTTGTTTTACTCTTGTAACTTCTCTTGCAATGCCCTATTCATCTCATTGTATTAAAAGTGGAGGTTGTTCAGCGAGTATTGGGACCGTGAAATTGTGATGCTATGAAAGAGTAGGCTGGTGTCAGTTGATTGGGATAAATAACGATCTACCTTTAACTCGATCCCATAAAGCCTTTTCTTCTTCTCCTCTCCTACAACAATAAAGTATATAGCATCCATGTCAACTTATGGCTTCTTAATTTCAGCCCCTCGTTGCTTCCTTACGGATTCTTGTATCATCTTTTCCACACGCTCTTACATAATAAAAATAATTATAACGTTAATAAAAAATTAAAATAATTTTTTAGATTATATTTTCATATGTATAATGAAAATATAATCTAAAAATAAAACTAAACTTACTATTGTAGATCGGATTTGTAAATCAACCAAATTCTCATCTCTTCGCTTGTGGGTGAACCCAAACAACTATAAATTTATAGGCTGAGGCCAAATTTCACAACTTGAAAAAAATTGACACAAATAATATATGAGATTCAAGTATTGATTTTTTAATTAGTTAATAATATATGATAGGATGTATCAATCGATAAGTAAGCTTAGAAGTAAATATGAACCCTCTTATATACCCAGGCGATGATGAACTAGGACCACCGATCTCCGACATCCGATTACGTGATGGCTACCGGGAACGCTTGATGATTAGATGTGGTAAAATCTTGCTTCCATGAATCTCACACCTTCGCCTACCAAAAATAGGCCATAGGTCATGCGTACAATGCTTGTGGACGAAGTCGAGTAGCACCTTCTAGCCAAAGCTTCCCAAGTATCTTTGCCTTGTGCCTTGATGGTCGATTCCTAGTAAAAAGACTTCTACATGAATAGAAAAGTTAATATTAATTCATTTCATGTTAAATTCATAGTTTAAATGAAGTAAAAATAAATAAGTAGTACATTATCATAAATTCATTGTAGTTAAACTATTTCGTCTCCTCTAAAATGAACTTCCATGCTCGGGCCATCAACCACTAATGTCCAACCACTTCTTGAAATCTATAATTATCTTTTTTGAGCAATCTCTCTAACATGGTATAACACTATCAAACACCCTAAAAAAAATTATTATTGAAATGATATATCAAATTTTTAAAAAATAATAAGGTTTGAAGTAAATTACTTACCAACAATTAAGGATCGAAATCGACCGTTGAATATTGGAGCCTCGGGAGCTCTTTGAGCCCATAGATACATCAGTAGATGATGGACTCCTCAAAGGAGGATAGGGAAACTTGACGGTCACATAAGTCGGATGAATAGTTATGGATGGAGATGTTAGAGCCGAGGTCGAATTGCTAGTTTCGATATAGGAATAAGTCAAACATCCCATATTGATGGACCAACGAAGAGCACCCGAAGATTGAGAGCCACGATCAATGTTGGATGAAGAACCATGTATGCTCGTTGTCGGATGGGGGTGCACACCCACTACTACCCGATCATGATCCCTAAGAAGGTGTTGGAGGTCGACGCAAACTACGCATCGTAGCTTAATAATATCACCTAAGATAATTAAATAAGATACAATAAATATATTATTAATTATGAGCATAAGAGAAAACATTTTTGAAAGCATCTCTAGAAAATTAGATTTTTTTTAATTACTTGATACGCAACCTCGCTTAAAAGATAATAAAGCAAAAATACATAACCAACATTTTGAAAATATATAAAAGTCAATATGATATATTATAATAAATAAAAATAATAATACATCATTGTTTACTAGCATAACTAATAAATTTAATATTTAATTACTACCATCATAATCATTATTTAAGTTTTCATCTTCCTTATTCGACATAGATTCATATTCGTTATCATCTTCTTCATAAGCCTCAACTAATTTTATGTCTACAAAAGATTAATTTGGATCACTCAATAATAAATTATCACCGACTTCCCGTATCAAATTATGTCGGATTTCTAAATCATCTTGTTAAAATGGTTTGGTATTTTGTTTGATTAATGTAGATGATTCGAGCAACTCAAACATAGACCTAGCTTTTATCTTACAAATAACTCACCAATCTTGATTATCCTAACTCAATCTAGGGTACTCGGTATAATATACCTAAGTCGACAAGTGATGATGGGACAAAGGATTCGTAATTCCTTAACCTTTTTTCTACGAGTTAACAACCACCAGTTTGTACTCGTGGATAAATTTTTATTCCTTGTGGTATAGCATCGAACCAATGGTATTTGAATAACACTATTCTTTTAATTGGTAATGTAGAATACTCCACTTGCAGAATTTATGTTAATATTCTATAGTAATCACAATTAGTTGCAATGTAGTTGATTCCTTTAATGCACACATAACTATTGAAACTCGTTATTTTTTAGCCTTTATCGGCTATGCAAAACCAATACCCGTTAATAATATAACCTCGATACAACCTTATAGTATGCAAAAAGGCTTGTGTTAAATCTTTTATGAACTGGTATGTCATGAAAACTCGCTTATGCATATTTTGTTTAAAAATTCAACCTAAAATCCGTTAAAAGTAAATTACCATTTAATTAATGCTACCTCCTAACAAAACACAAGTTAAATATACCTAAGCAACTCAAACATAGACCTAGC